TATATCTGTGGTGGTTACCTGGAGTAACAACAGCTTAATTCCTACTTACCATAGTATTTTTGATGTGTCCTTCACCACTATCTTCTGAGACCTGTTTCCTCTATTGTCTCCTTTTTACTTCTTTTCTCATTTCAGCTGCTTTTATGTTTACTTTTTGTCTAAGTGTAGACCATTCAATCTGAATTGAATTTGTTATTGATGAATAATTGTGATGAAACTCGCTTCAAGAAGCAAGACTAGAAAATATTACAACAATTGTAGTATTTTATTTCAGTATAGTAAATGTTACAATCTCTATGAATCCTCTGATTCTTCTTTCCGGAAGTAAATAAAATAAACCAAAGGCGTTTGAGCTTGATCTTGAATCTGTATGACTACCACAATAGTAGTACAATAGGCTATAGGCTTTCACCTGTGTAGGGGCTGTAGTTTGGGTTCCAATGTAACAGAAGTACCACTATCCAGCCTGATTGAAAGAATATCAGGATTGCACTCAACAAATTCTCCCTGTTTTCTGTAAAAGAAAAACTCTACAGTATACCATTCACACAAGGGTCTTGTCATGAAGCATCTCCTACACACTTTTTTTAATTTTGAAACTTTTTGGTCACCCTTAATTTAATCACCCTGCTTTCTAGTGTTGTTCCTGAAGAGAATAGTTGACATCATTGATCTCTCATTGTAACACCCCACAATTCTAAGATAAGACCCGAACCATTCTTCGCATGCAGATAGGTTCGGACCCGATGATTTCTAATTGTACACAGGTATTAAGGTCAATTCCTAAGTGTGGAAGGTGTATGGATGAGAAATAAGGTTAAAAGGAACCTGTAGCGCTAAGTCGAGTTCGAAGCTTCCCTACCGATTAAGTTTTTGCATAAGATAATTCAAGAGTCAATTTCAAACGAGAATATATCTTAGAATATGAAGAGTTATGTGTCTCATTCCCACCAAATTAATTATCTTTGAGCCTACTTTACAACGTCACTGACCGTTCATAAATTCTGAGTCCGAAGTAAAAAGTTATGATCGCTTTTGCAGATATTCTCTAGCATAATTTTGTACTCCCAGATACTACGAATCGAAATATGACTTGTGGTGTCATCAGCTGTCGTGGTTCGATTGTAACACCCCAGAAATTTTTTGAGCTAAGACTCGAACCATTCTTCGTTGTGAGTAAGATTTTACCAAGGAATGTAAATTTTCTTAAGTGTTAAAGGTCACTTGATGTAGTACCTTGAGTTCCATTCAAGTCATTCCTAAGTTCTTCTAAGTTTTGGGTCAACTTCTAGCACAAGATGAGTTAGGAGGCCCATAAGATATCAAATGAAAGATTTCTGAGTCGTCTTTCCAACGCCACCGAGTTTGCTAAATTTTAAGCTCGGATGAGGGAGATATGACCGTTTGAGTGCAGCCTTTCTAGATAGGGTCTTTCCACCCGAACTAAGGAGGGGTATTTTAGTCTTTTCCTTACCCCCACTTATTCTAAACGCAAATTACACCCAATTAAGGGTCTAAACTGATTAGAATCAATTTCATTCATCACCAAAGCATTTAGGGTTTTAGAGAAAAGATTCAAGAGGAGAAAAAGTTCAAAGTTTCAAGCGTTCGTTCAAGAAATTCAAGATTTCGCCAAGAACCTAGTTCTTTGAGGTATGTAAGCTTCCTTAGTGTTGGGTTTGTTCACCCACACGCCAATCATGAGTTTCTTGTACAAATTTCATCCATAAGATTGAGTATATTGATAATCTTGTTGAGTTCTTGAGGTTTTTGTGCTTCGTTCTTTTATAATGAAGTTCTTGTTGAGTTCTTGAGGTGAGAGTTGCAAATGAATGTTGTTCTTGGTAGGTTTTGATTGGTTTTGATCCAAATGTGTTTAGTATATAAATCTAAAAGAGTTTGAGAGAAACCATTCAATTCTAGGTGAACTAGGGTCAGAAAACGAGTAAAGAAATTTGTAGGGGAAATCTAGGCAAGGGGTGGCGCGTCGCCCCACCATAGCACCAGCAGAAGTGCTCTGTAGTTCAGGGGTTGGCGCCCTGCGCCACTCAGTGCACCAGGGTCTCCTGCCCCGACCCCTTCTCCGTAGTTTTACCTGTCTAAGTTCTTTCAAAGGGTACCTTTACTCCCTATCAATTCTAACTACCTAAACTACTTCTAAACATCTAGAAATAATTCATAACATGAATCATAACCTTGAATTCATAATTCAAATTCAAGGTAGAGTTAAGAGTCAAGTCTTGAGAGTTCTTTCGAATCTTTTGAGAAAGTCCCTTTGAGTCTTTTTGAGGAGTCTTCTGCAATTACTAATAACTTGTTTCAAGACTCGAGTAAGTGAGTATAAGGATGCGGAGAATGTATTCATGAGTCTACATTATCATTGAGATCATTGAGTCGAGTCGTTCATGCCCATAAACTCCGCATGAACTCCATAAGTTGAGTACCTTTGAGAGGAGTAGTATCTTCAAGTTCTAAGTCTTGAGTAGTGAGTTCCTAATCCTTTTGAGATTATAATCCTAATCATGGGACTACTACATATTACCCGTGAAGGTCCTAGAGTTGAGGTGTTCATGCCCATAATTTTGCATGAACCCTATGAATCGAGCAGTCTTGATATGAGAAGTATCATTGAGTCCTTGAGTTGCGTAGTTTGTCACGCTCCGAGCTACCCCCGAGACGCGGACACGGGACCTAGGATCACAAGTGATGTAACGACTCGGAAAATGATAGAGTGAAACTAGAGCCTCATATATGAGTTTGGAGTCGAGAACTTAATGAAATGATGAGAAATGGCTTTTGAAGTGTAGTTTAAAGAGATTTGAGGTCAAACGTCAAGAAATGATCGTGACGTCCGGAAACTTGTTTAGCTACTTATAAAAAGATCCGTTTCGTTTTTCGAAAATACGACTCCATATTCTTGTTTAGGGGGTCAAATTGAGTGGGAAATGGGTCTAACCCAAATTTTAGAGCAACCGTATCAAAATCCGAAATTTCCAAGTGAAGCCTTTTCGAGGGTCTACTTTGGAGGGTCATATCTCCTAGCACACAAATTATTTGGGTGGCCAATAATATATCCATGGAAAGCCCTTTGAGTTAGCTACCTAACGCACTTCGTTTCACCTCATTCGGAGTTCGGACGAAGAAGTTATGCCCATTTTCGTAAAATATGTCCGGCAGGAAAGACAATTTCCAGTAACCATTTTTACTGTTCACCCGCCTCCTTTTTTTTTCTAAGTGTTGGACGATTTTTCCAAAGGGCATATGTTATTTCCTATATACCATTAGTTCAATTCCCATCTCTAAAACATTTCCCAAAACACCTCTCCCATACTTAGACACAAGACAAGATATAACACTTCCACCAAAGGTGGATTCAACCTACCAACAACAATCGTCACATATGGACATTTAAAGATAACATACTTTCAATCACACTACAATAACACTTTGTACAAGATCACCTTATAACCATAAGATTACCTTCACATAGTACTATAACACTTCATAACTTGATAACACTTTTAATTCAATAGATAATGCCTTCAAGGCCATATTCATAATACAATCCATAATTAAACACCTCCACTATAAGTGGATCAAACCAAGCAAGAACAATTATATCAATAATATGAGATTAAGCCAACTTACCATCCTCCAAAGCCATCCTCAACATTAATCAATAGATATAGAAAATCATAAACATCAACAATATCACAATCCATCATTTAAAACCATTTAATGCAAGAACCCTTGAGTAGAGTAACAAATAGAAGTTTTTCATAACTTTTGAGAATTTGAAAACCCTTTGAAATTGGTTCTAAAGCGAAAACTAGCTTTAGATAAAGAGCCACCATACCTTAGTATTGAGAAAACCCACGAAAATTGATGCAAGAAACCTTCTTCTTCTCTTCCTTCACTCAAGAACCCTAACCCTTACTCTTTTAAAAATGGAACAAAATGATCCACAATCAGCCTAACACAATAATATAACCTCAAAAGAAAAGATTTGTGAAAAGACCAAAATGCCCTTAAATTTCCGGACGGACTCCTTGCCAACTGCCCAACTTTCAAAGGGCATAACTCACTCATACGAACTCGAAATCGAGCAAACTCGGTGGCGTTGGAAAGATCGTTCCAAGGGCTTTCCAAAAATAACTGGAACTACTCCTG